AAAGACGGACGTTCATTTGACGTCACGTTTTAACGATTAAAGAACTTAAATAAACTTAAATGTGGCGCGCCATCTACTAATGTTATCATTAATATAAGTTAGTCAAATAAGGAAGAGATAAATTGTACAGACAGTGTTACTTTTTGAAAAAGTGAAGATCCGGCAAAAATTGCGGACTGACGTGGTTTAATTCTATTGATTCTTAGTTGCTTAGTTGGGTTTGTGGGATCAAGGTGTTCACAAAAGGCAGGTCAGTATGGACGAATTATTAGTGTATGGTTTGGCTACGAATACTCACGTAATAGGGGTGGGTTGTGACATCACAACGACACTTTTTGTTGCCTTGAGAGTTAGCTAGAATTCAGTTGTCAGTTGTTTAGGATTTCCTTGAGGAAGCCTAAAGCCTTTGAAATTCATACTGCTGACGAACTTTTTCATGAATTAAACGTTCAGTCAGTAGTGATGTAATTTGTTATTTTCATGATGTTTCGACAGTTGTTGTGAATGGAAACTATTCTGAGTGGTCTGAATTCACTGAGTGCAGCACAACCTGTGAAGGTGGTCAAAGACGCCGAAGCCGCACATGTACAAATCCTCCACCCCAACATGGAGGAAAAGACTGCAGGGACTTGGGGCGAGATGTAGAATACATTGATTGCAACGGTGATGTTCGCTGCTCAGGTGAATGAATATTTCAAGCTGTTGGAGCTTTATTTGTCTTATGGAATGATTATATACTCAGTGGAGTCAGAGGAATTGTAATCAAGAACTGCTTGAAAGAATTCAGAGCAAAATGAAAAATATGTATTTTAAAATCAAATTTGCAAACATTTTTCTCCCTTAGCGGAGTCCCTCCATCTGATAGCATCAGCTACTTTAATTACAAGAGCTGTCTACTTGATTTATGATCAATTAATACTAAACAAGTGAAAAGAAGTCAAAGAGGTAACTGGCGTTGTTTTTCTCTTCAGTTTCAGCTGAGATCTGGATAGCTGTTGGAGTGGCATGTGGTGTATTTCTCTTGATTCTTATCTTTGTTGTTGTTCTTTTGCTGCGAAGACGCAGGAAGCAAGCTGAACAGAGAAATAGGTAAAAATCAATTAATCTTCTATCATACTGAGCTTTTTGTATTCTGAAATCAGAGAATCCTGAAGAGTTTTTTTTTTTAATTCAGTTAAACTCTTGAAAATTCCTAAATACGTGTTTACAGGCGTTATCCATATATGAACCGTCAACTTGTGAATAAGAGAGTTTCGTCATTCCTTGGTGCAATGCGACTTTGATGAAGCTCTTGTCATGAGCTGAACAACAAACATAGCTTGCATGTGATAATTAAAATCCTTTAACTGTAAAAAAGTTAAGTTCATCACATGAGTGGGAGCTAGTGGAACTGTGTTTAAACACTTGGACAATAATAAGCTGTATTTTTTAGGTTATCTAGTTCCAAGGATTCTCAAACAAATGGACACAGCACTATAATACCGCTGGAAGTGATATACGAGGACAAAACAGTGCCCAAGTCCACCCCCAAAGGACAAGCCAATCCGGAATTTATTGGTGATGATGATGATGACAATGATATCTACAAAGCGCAGCTGTTGTTATTTTTGAAGCAGGCCCATTTGATACGACCCAATATTTACCCTGATGAGCAAGATAACCAGTCTGATACCTCAGAATATTCAAGGTCGACATCAAGAAAACCGTCTGCAGTATCTAAGACCAGTGACACAAACGAGGATTACAAAGAAGAACCAGCTCATGACGCCGAGACAAGTCACAAGTCCAACAGCGTAACTGTTGCTGTAAGTTTTTTTCTTACGGTAAAATCAATGTTTTTAGAATTATTGAAATACAAAAGAGTGCCCTTAGCTCATCCCAGAGGCTCTTATAGCAGCACGACTAGACGCAAATGGTAGATTTAATTTATAAGTGTTCGCTTCGTAATAATGGCAAATTCTTTGTCTATTACAAAAATACCGAAGGCAGAAGAAGCAGTACAACTGCTTATATGAAAAGACCCGCATATTGTGGGCATGCGGACGCTCTATCTAGTCCCTAGCAGGGACTGCATTCAAATTTTATTTTGGGCAACTGCATTCCGTGTTGTTTTGAAACACAGCTGGTCGGTACATTGGTCGCTAGATGGTGCTTTCAGTTGGTAGGTTACCTAAAATTTATGGTTAACATATTCTGTTTAATACTTAATAGTGCAAAAAAAAAAAGAAATCGTAAATAAGAACATGTCTGAAGCATTGAACTGAAGCTTCTATCATTCAATTCTTTTCTTATAGGGCCAAACGCTAGCATCGGACGATGAAAAACGACTCCCAACAACAGTATTGTAACTTCAGTGTTATGGTAAGACTGGAGATCTACTGATATAAACCTCAGTTCAATCACGTTAACTTAGTTATGTCAACCAGAGTAAGGCCTAGTCCAAACGTCGTGCTACTACCGTGCCGAGTTCAAATGAATTTGCTCGGCAGTGGCATACATGACAAAAAAACGACAGTGGTTTCAAACGTCGAATTTAATGCAGTCACGCCGACGATCAGAAGAGGTTTGCTTTGCTGAAGACCATTTTAAAAGCTAGAAAGCAACGGCAGCTGACTCAGCAGGCTATGAAATTAGTTCGGCACGACAAGAGCACACCGTTTGAAGTCAAGTCGCGCTACTGCCGTGCGGTACGGCAAGGTCTGCCGTGTTAAGTGTATGTAGTCGTGCCGAACTTAACTTAGCCTGCCGAAGTGAGTGGTTTTAAACGTCGTGCTACTGCCGTGCTTAAGTCCAATTTAATTTTTCAATTTAGTTCGGCACGCAGTAGCACGAGGTTTGGAATAGGCCTAACCCAGAAATGAATTTTCACCACTATGAAAGTGAAAGTTACCAAACAGATCTCTCATGTTTTGAAATTCAAAAGGTTTTCCTTATTTGTCTCAGTTTCCTGCAAGGTCGATTGCACTGATGGACCACGAGACTCCTATATAGCTACCACCACTTTTTCCCATTTTTGGGATCTTAATACACGATCAATTCCATAAATAAGTTAATGTTACAATTCGCTGAATTTGCGCTAAATACGTCAAGTCCAAACGTCAAGTCCAGACTAGGACGCTAAGCTCCCTTGAATTTCGAACTCGCAAAAAATATTTCGCATGATCTCAACATAGCACATGCGAAGATCATAAAAAGCGTGAATGACGCGTACTGTTGGAGGGGAATTACGGTCGTTTCGCCCGAAAGCCAGTTCACCCGGACTGTTAGCTCCTTGGTCAATGGATTAACAAACGAGAAATAAACACGTTTGGTTTGCCGACAATGTGGTCTTTCTCGCTCGTTTAGTTATAAGAAAGAACTTTAACACATCCTTGTTTGGCTGACTTTCAGTCCGGGCGGAGAGACTTATAGTCCGCGCGAACAGGCATCGGACGAACTGGCTATCGGGCGAAACGACCAGTTACCTTGGAGACCTGTTAACAGCACATATTTTGACTAATGATTCGAGGAATTGGTGATTCATAGTTGCATGTCAATAGAGATCGCCTTTTAATTTGTTGGTTGTCAGTTTAAAACTGCCAAGCATGAAATCTTTTAAACTTTCTTCATAGATAAAAGCATAGTGTCTTTATTGTCAATAAAGTTACTATTACTCTTATTTGTCTGTCTTCAAATTGTGTAAATAAACTGCACCGCGCCAAAATTGATCTCCTTTGGGGTTTCATTTAAAATTTTCCATCAGTATGGAAAATTAAAGATGACAGCACCCCGGGGGTCGTCCAGGCTTTTCTGTCCAACATTCTGGACATGTAATACCAACTCAGACAACGAGCCGACAAACCCTTGCACGACGATATAAATTGTGTAGAAGCTAAGACCTAGACGAATCCACTCTCCGGAAAAAAATAAAAGATAGGTACTTTCTTTCTTCTCTCTTTTGTTATCGACAAGGAAACTAATTGTGTCCGATGCGAGCAATCCACACATTGGAGCTCAAAACATAATACACATGCTCAAATAACTAGCCACTGACAACGCAGTTTCGATTGTTGTCCACAACTAAACCCACACACGGGCAATCTCATTCCCAGTCTTCGTTCCCCTTGACCTGCGGTCGGAAAACGAGAGCTCTGGGAGCAACCATTTCAGGCGTGCGCCATAGTTGCAGACTGCACAGTGAAACCGGATGGGCAGAATTCGGTTATTTCAAAATGGTTGCTTCCAGAGCTCTCGTTTTCCGACCGCTGGTCAAGGGGAACGAAGACTCTGGGAACGAGATTGAAGAACAGTCAAAAACGTCATTGTCGATAACTATTAGTTGCCGATAACTTACTCTCTAGCCTTTGGTCTCACACACTGCTTTGTTAAGATAACAAATATAGTTTTCGACAAATGTCTAGTCTGTGGAGGCGAGTGAGAAACTGCACTTTATTTAAGAACACACCAAGGTGTAGCTACAATAAAGATGTTTCCCGGCGACCGTTGTAAAGTGTATCCTTTGTTGGTCGTTATTTACAAGGCTTCATATATTACAACACAATGTTCAAGGCAATCCTAACTAATAATATACTGTGTAAACACACAAGGATTATTAAATCACGTCAGCTAAATCATCAGACTTATTTAAAAGCACCACGGCTTGGACATCAGTTAAAATCCGGTCCGACAGCTCATCCCTTTTGGGCTAAAAATTCGTGATGGCAATTTCAAGTACACAACACCATCACCGGCCCTTACGCAACTGACATAAATAGAATAAAGAAACACAACAGACAAACACTGATGATGCATTTAGATAAGGTAGGCTTAAAACTGGGTTTTTCAGCCGAGTACTTATTAAAACACCGCGGACGCAAACGTTTGGCTCAAGCGGTACAAAAAGACACAGCCAAGACCAGCATACAAACATTAACGACTTACACCAAACAGTTTGTGGTTTAAATAATAATAAACGGAGTTACCATCACGTACGTGCGACACCAGCAGCGCTATTCACTGACACCAACAGCAGTTCAACACAAAACACTCTTATAGCTATTTGTCCTCTATTTACTGGTGCAAACTATGGCATGCAAAAACTCTTTTCTATGGGGTATAGCTGCACTCTTAAAAAGTAAAATAAATTGAATATGTTGGTAAAAACGAGTGAACACTAAATGAAGCGATAGTATTATATTAAGAATGACATTTTCACGAGGTAAGTTGAACAAAACACTCTCACAGCTATTTGTAGCAAGATATTATTGTCCAAATATAATCAGTTCTCTTTGAACTCTGCATAAATAGACATAATTAATTGATATATCTTGACGCGCCGCCGGTCGCACCCTCCTAATGTATGCTGTCTCTATATGTAGCACTGCATGACATGTTGTTCTACACTCCTATAGGATTACTGTTTGTCGTTATCACTCCCTGCGGATTTGAAACAGTTGACATCGTAGTAGCAGCGAGATTTTCTAGTTCCAGGGTAGCTCGGTGAGCCATTTGCGTGAGAGCACTGGTAGCGACATCTTCAGCCGAGGCCGCCGGATCAGCGTGAGAGTTACTTGTTATAACTCCATTTGTTTGCTCACCTACTTGATGATCTGTTGTTTTTGAAAAATAAACATCTCTTGTTAATTCACTGTACATACTGTTCTAACAATACGAGGAAGACTTGACTGCTGTCCTTTATGAGCAGAAATATCAAAGCTTAACCGATAAGAAGGAAATGAGAGCTGAAAATCACCCTTTTTTAACTTCTCTTCACATAACCTAAGCCGAAGAATTCAAGGTGTTTAATTTGACTCTACAATCCAAAATTAACCACACACAGACCAAATATCGCTCGCCATCAAGGTCTTTATGCTTCGCCCAAACACCCTATTGCCTAGCAGCGAGGATTATATATACTGTTGTTAGGTCGCCAAAACAAATACATCGAATTTGTTTCCGTGTTCATAGACTGTAGTTTGCCAATCAGCAGGATTACTGCTCAGTCGGTATACTTACTTAACATCTGATTGTTTCGTTGCTGTGCTATTGTGACGGGGCAGTCCTTGTGAGCCAGAAGAAGAGATTTCAACTGAGCAACTTCGGTTCGCAGAAGAGTTATTTCACCCTAAAGAACCATCAAAGAAAATTTTATCTCTTAGTAAACTGTTCCTGTGACAAAACATTTACTCACAATTTCCCCTTAAAAATATCATTTTACTTACCGTCCAGTAGTCTTAAAGTCGTAATTGATAACATTGGACGAAATTATGTAATTGGTGGAGAGCGCAGGAATATTAGTTGGGGTGTTGAAGTTGACTAGCCTTACCTGCAGATGTGCGTTAGTGTTACTAAGATCATCAGCTTTTTTCTCTAACTGCTGCACCCAAATCTTCCTTTTTTCTCTACACCTGGTGGCTGCAGCTCTGAAAGAGAAGCCAAGAACTTAATGCCACTTCATTACGACACCTACCTTAAATCACGGTGTACAGACATGTACAAAAGTAGAACCTGGACTGGAAGTCATTACCTTGACGTACCTTTTCTATCCTTCCTTAGTTACTTACTGGTTACAAGACCACTTGATGAGAATTTTTCTCAAGTGAAGATACCGTAGTATTTATTTTGTGTACTCACCGATTTCTTTCAAGGAAGCGTTTTCTTCGCTCATCGGGATCCAGCTCATCTTGCGTTCTTCGCGGACGTTTTCTATGGAAAAGCAATTTGATTTAGAAATTCTGTATCGTAAATCAAAGTTAATTCTTTGTAAGTGAATACAGTGTAGTTGCACAGTTACTGCCTTGTAAAACTCGTCTCAGAACACGTTAGGTAGCTACATCACAGATATGCAACTTTTTCAAGTACGTCATATCTTTCTCAGCCATAACCATTCATTTTTATTTACAATTAGATTATGAAGCAGCGATATTAAAGAATGACGTTTCGACGGCTCCATGCCGTCATTCTCAAATTCAAATAAGATACGTTATGTGAGTTCGTTATATAGTGAATGTACGTGTGAAGGTCTCAGTGCATAAAAAACGGAACCCAAACCACCTCTTGTTAACGAACGATGCGTTGTTTATGAATACAAATGTGATCTGTTCGACGCAGATTATGTCGACTATACATGCCGACACCTATTTCAGCGCATTAATGAGCATAAGCATTCTGTCATTGGTAAACACCTGCGGGACGTACACAATCTGAGGAACAAAGATCTCCGTGAACAATTTACAATCCTCAAGAAATGCCGTCGGAAACTGGATTGTTTAATTTATAAAATGCTCTTCATCAAAAACAAAAAACCAACACTTAACACTCAATCTGACTCCGTTAAAAGCAAAACTTTTTATTTGACAGTTCAAGCGCACCACGCTTGGTATTTTTATTCATCGATTATTTTTCTCTCTTAATCATACGCACTGAGACCTTCACACGTACATTCACTATATAATGAACTCACGTAACGTATCTTATTTGAATTTGAGAATGATGGCATGGAGCCGTCGAAACGTCATTCTTTAATATCGCTGCTTTTCATTCTTAATTGTTTATCGAAAACTTTAGTTATTAGAATTAGATTATGAGCTCGAAATTTCGTATCGCATAGGAATCGAGAGCGAATAATACAACTCGCTCAAAACTCTATCGAAATCCTCTCCACAGACACTGCCAAAACGGAAAGCGGCCATCATTTTGTAAACAAGCGCAATTCTATCTACAACTACAGAAGATAGATAGAGTAGCGTAACCAATAGGAGAACGGCATTCGTGATAAAATGCTGGTAGATTTCCCGGGTAGATTTATACAAATTTTGACTTCTAATGCTTCCTTGAGGGTTTACTACCTTAGAAGGCTAGTACATGTAGAATAAATGACATACTGTATCGTGACATCGCTCTTTAAAGAATAAGCGTAAACAAAGATTGCTTGATTTGACTTACGAGGAGCCTGTTCCTCTCTTGATATCCTGTTGAGTGATGTTGCTGTTAGCAACAATTGTGCTTGGATTCTGAGAGTGATTAATATGGTTTCCAGGACTTGGTATTTCATTATGTTGTGATGTTACCATGTCAACTGCTTCTGTCATGGCACGATGGATGATATTATTGGACTGAGCAGCTTGGTGGAGTTTCAGTTGCTCCTTAAGACGCTGCAATTGAAATTTAAAGCAAGCAGAAGAGATCGAGTTGCTTCTAGATTTAACAGACCAGGGCTTGCTGGGTCGCTAATCCATAATAATACTGCGTAATAACAAGTGGAAATGAATAACAAAACATCCCACTAAAAATTCACAAAACTTGAATCAAAATTCACGCTTATTTTGGAACAAGATAATGATGCTTTCCACACTGAGCAATTGGCAACTTTTGTAGCGTGATCTCTTAAGTGCAAGCAGTTTACATGATCATTCAATGTATTTTTTTCCTTCCTTTTCATTGTCCGTGAGCCCACCACGTGACCTGCACATAACTGCCCACAAACAATGGTGTGCTCATGCATAATACCAACTAAATGTGTTTTGCTGCAAATGATATTCTGCTCATGCGTAATTGTAACCACGCTCTTGTGTGAACAATGGCAGCTCGCTTCCCTGAGCTGTCAGAGAGTGTTGTAAATTTAATATGAAAACAAACCTGGTGGTCGAATGACAAAACAATTATTGACCTCGGTAATCAAAAAATATCGTGATTTGTCAGTGTCTCGCAGATCAATTACATGTATTTGCCTCAGCCTTCAGCTTTGGCAAATAATTGATCTGCTTGCCACTGACAAATCACGATATTTTGCCCAACCTCATTTTGTCCAATAATTGTAAAGTATTCTATGGCAAGCTGCAACAGTTAAAACACTGCTTGGAATATTTGCAATAGGTTGCTAAACTAAAGGCAAGTTTGTTTGCCATATGCATAGCAGGAACACAGCTCAGTACTGGGAAAAGCATTTGGGTACAATTCCATGAGCAGAGAAACTGTTCATTTTCCATATCACGAGTGAATCGACTAGAGCATTCAAGTGTAGTAGCCACAGACAGGCCAGGAAAAAACAGAACTACTCAGCTTATTTCAGACTGCAGTAAAACCAAAACCAAAACCAAAACCAAATGAAAGTAATTTCCAGATTACTTTCAACACTTGGTCAATTGAAAACCACTCTCTTTGTCATGTTAAAAATGGAGATTCTAAAATAATGGAAAAAAGCCCTGAATTTACCATTAAATTCAGAAAAGAGGTGATACATGTATGGGCCTACTGGTGGTGGCAAAAGTAACATTATAAAGTTGACAACTTGAAATAAATAAACCACTCAAAATTCTTTGAGACAACAAACCTGTTTTGCACTGCCCATGAAGGAAGGAGGACTACTTGCACTGGGACTGGTAACAATAGCTGGCGTAGGGATGGATGGGATAGGCATTGAGCTGCTGCTGGTAGAGTTGAGACGTCCGTGGATATGGCTTGGCACTGGTAGTGCAGAGGGGACCTGAGCATTAGGAGCAGCTATGGAAGCAGGTATTGCTGGTGGAATATGAGCTGGAACACGTACAAGCACTGAGACTGGAGCAGCAGATATGATTGTCTTCTTTGTTTCTGTAGTTGCAGTATTCTGTACTGGTGGTGCTAGCTCAACCTTGGACGAGGAATCATCAATAACAATAACACTTTGTGTTGGAACTGTGTTGTTGGTAACTGAGGTTTGGCTGTGATCAGAAGGCAATTGAGCTGTGGGCTGAGCGCTTGATGAGTTGGAAGGCTGTGAAGTAAGAAACAATTGCCTTCATGCATTGGAACAATCACAAAGTATTTCAGAGACAATATACGTGTACAAGTAACTGCATCCAGTGAGAGCTAAATGTACAGTACCGGTCAAAGGGACTGCAGCATTACACGCGCGTAAAGCATGTGTACTACATGCACATTACACGCAGTGTCCCCGCAGTGCCCACGCAGTGTCCACGCAGTGTCCACGCAGTGTCCACGCAGTGTCCACGCAGTGTCCACGCAGTGTCCACGCAGTGTCCACGCAGTGTCCATGCACCTTACACGCAAATGCACGAAAATATCTGTAATTGCATGCGCGTAATTTCACGCAGTAGACGTGATATTGCGTGTAAAATTACACGCAGTTGTTCAACTGGAACTCATTAAGTGCGTGTAATGACAACAAAATATTAAAAGTGCGTTTAATGAAAACAAAACATTTACCGTGTAACATTTACCGTACTGGACTGCAGTGCGATAGGGTTTAGTCTTTCACCTTCTTACTTCTGGTCATCAAACGTTTGCGATAGAATAGACCAGTTTCCTTTAACCGTAATGTACTGGTAAAACTGGTGATAATATGACTTAAGGATAAACTTATACACGCAACTCATTCTTTCGTCATAGAGTGGTTTTCAACTGAGTATCGTAAAACCCAAACCAGTCAGAACTACTAAGCTTATTTCAGACCGTAGTAAAACCAAAACCAAAACCAAAACCAAATGAAAGTACATGTAATTTCCAGATTACTTTCAACACTCAATCAATTGAAAAACATTCTCTTTGTCATGTTAAAAATGGAGATTTAAAATAATGGAAAAAAGCCCTGGATGTATAACTAATTTTCAGAATTTATAACTAAATTCAGAAAAGAGGTGATACATGTATGCTCTCTTTATCACTGTTACATGTATGCTATATGACCTCAGCATCAGACAATATTACACTTTAGCATTCTGTGTTATACTGTTGTAACACATGTACAAGTGAAAATCAACTCCAATCCGGTATTTGATAGTTTAGCAGAAAACATTAGAAGATATAATTATTACTCATTTATCACATTTTTCCTTGCCCCTGTGGGGCTAATCTAAAATAATACTAAAACAAAATAATATATTCAGTGCATATTATTGAATGTGATATCACTGGTGTATATTACTGTTTGAATATCACTAGTGTATAGCATGTATTTCACTCCACTGCATGGAGGTGCAGTGCCTAAATGGTAAGTATGCTAGACCCCAGTCACAGTGTTGTGTCCTTGCGCAACACACTTTACTCTCACAGTGTCTCTGTCCACTCAGGTGTATTTATAAATGGGTACTGGCATATTTAATGCTGGGGGTAATTCTGTGATTGACTAGAGTCCCATCCAGGGGGGAGTAGAAATACTTCTAGTCACTTAATGCTACGGAAACCAGGATAAATAAATAAATAAAATGAATACATGTAAGCTTCAGCTGTGTGGACCACTTCGCCCGACACAAAGTTTACCTACTTTATAACACATGCATGTACATGCATTTCCTAACAGAATTTGTTTCTGACACCAAAATACAAAGAAATACTTCACTTGTTTATTTCATTAATAATCTTACATAAGTTAGAAATTTTATTGTTCTGGACAGGAAACATTCATACCCCTTCCAAGGAAGAATTTTTTTGGATCGAACCCCAAATCCTTGGGGAACTCCAGATTAGCTTCATACTTTACTTTATAAACAAAGACTTTTGAAACCACCCTCCCCCTCCAAGTTCCAATGACCTTCCTAGGGGTGCATATTTCCTGGAGCTCATTTTGAGGTAATCTGAATGACAAGATATTGTATTGCTCTTTGCTTTATTCATGTGGTTGCCTTGTTTACACTGCTCATCAGAAACACACTACTCGTATCAATGGATGACCAAGAACAATCCCTCCTGAGATTGTTTAGCATAAAGTATTTTTATCAGTCTCATCGATCAATGTACGAGCTAAACAATGAAATGTTGGATAGATGTAGCTTAACATTAGGACATAGTGATTCTATGAACAATCAGCTTGTAGAATAATATAATCTCACCTGATCAGTGGCTCTCTTGAAATCCTGTAAAGAATCACATCACATCAACAACATTGGCTTTAAATAACACTTATAAATAAATATCCCAAGGAGTATTTAACAAAGCAAGAGACTGGAATACAGAGTACAGTCACCTAAAAAAGTTGACCATGTAACTACCACAGTGAAACCTAAACAGGCCCAAAAAAGAGGCACCAAAAACTGCCATTGCCTTTTTTAGCTAAGTTACAAATAACTGGTATCACCAGTGCTGGTTTTGGAGTGGTACAGCGTTAATTGTATCAAATTCTTGTTTATGATTGGTTCACTATAAGCCCGTTTGTTTAATTATGTCATTAGAGTGGGTTTCACAATAATTACCTTTAGTATTGACTCCTCCTGTACACTTGTAAGGTAAAATAATCAAACCTCTCTGAGTCAACACCTTTCATTGTCACCCAGATTCCCAAAATGCCAAATTCTGCTTGCCAAATCACTAGTACCGGTAGTCGGAACCCAATACAAGCGACCACGCTCTTTTACATGTATGGCTAATGGTTTGAAATTTTTTCTTGTTTAACCTCACAATATTTCACAATATTTGACACCCATTATGTAACAAGATGCCTTAAACAACAGCAAGTTTGTTCTTAGATGGTACATTTTATTTAATTATTCATATTACATGTATCTGATGTTCTCATTTAAGACACTGCTGGTTTTACAACTTAGAAATTGTCTAGATGACATCTCTTTGCATTACTACAAACTGAAATGCAAAGAAAAAGTTGTATAATGCAAAAACATTGCATGTATTCTTTGAAACACCCTATAAAACTTTGACCATATTTCTTAATTTTCAACAACTATTTCCTGCCAAAGATATGATAAGATATGGAACAAAGACAACAACCAGACATACAGGCCTTCTGATGGTGTTGATGTGGCCACAGCCAATATTGTTTCCTGAGTACCTTCCCACAATTATTTCCTTCCATGTACTTCTTGTGAGTTATGTTTCATAGTGTATTGACTTAATGCAAGGAAATCTAGACTTATATCCCTTGGAATGAGTCAACAAGTGACAAATAAACTCTACTTTTCCTAGTTCAGAACTTAATGCCGTGTTTTCATGAGAGAGGTTTACTACTGTTACTGCTCACCGAGGTTTCATAACTAAACCGCAGTTATTAGAGAAGCTGTTACATGAAACTAATTAACTAAAGTAGGCCACATACAACAGATGGTTTGAGGTTTTCTCGGAAAACAAGTGCTGCAATGTTGCTCAGAAACTATTGGAAAATTATAAAATTTTGCTTGCAGTGCTGTAGGGTCAAACTCTCCTTATATGTAAAGCTTTGTACATGTATAGTGGAAAGAAAATTTTGATGTCTCGCTGAGCCTCTTCCTGCAAAAAACCTGAAACGGCATCTGCCACGAAGCCCCGGCGACGTGAATGTTTACCAGTACTTCTTCTTATTCAGGGCAGCTTTAAATTCTAACTTTTGCCTTTCTCCTCCATAGACCTGAATTATGATTTTTTCTCTCTATTTGTGGTAGGTCTTCTTGTAGTTGTGCCTGCCTGTACACTGCTACTAAGCTACTGAACTTCTAACAGAAAGGAAACGCTTAGGGCACTTGACGATGAACAGGAAACGGCAGTCCGGGATTTCTTTGCCTAAACATGAGTTTATTTAGCTCTTTTTACCCACTGACTTGAAACCTACTTACATTAGGAGGATTCTTTGTCTATTTTTCTCTTCTTTACGCGCTGCATGTATGAACACTTACTGCCAAGATATTGTGACAACATCTGCTTTTCCTCGGTTACCGTCCATTACTGAACTAAACCATGCCTGATGAGGCGTTCAACTGTTGACCAACATAGGTTGGCTTACTTTTGTTTTTGCCGCCATTTACCGAGCTTTACTACTGTGTTTACACAATCAAAAATTTCACTTCAGTAAGGTTAAAACAAAACCAAGGTAAACATCTCTCATGAAAACACGGGCTAAGACACATCATTCATGTCAGAGTGAAGTAAAATTCAAAATGGTTATTACAAACCTGATCAAATGGATTTTCTAAATCTTGAAAGAGTCCTTCTTCTTCACAGTTCCTTAAGAATCTTGTTGGTGTTGGTGTCTGATCTACAAGAAGAAGCGACAAGAAATATTGAATACAGGGCTTACTCTTTGCAAATTTCCTTCCTCAAAAAAATAAATGAAGATACAATGTGAATATACATGTATGTAACTTAAACCTAGTGAATTGTATTAAGCAAGATTTAGCTCTACAAAATGGGTATAATAACTTGCTTTTTTGACTTTTTGTTATGTATACATTTAGCTGTTTCAAAGGCCACTCTATTCATGCAGCAAACGTAACTGATAAACAAAGTATGATGGGAGTGCAGCATTCAAAACAGTTTTAATAAAGTATGGCAAATGACCTTGTCTACTCACCTCGTTTAGTTTTTACTATTTTGAAAAGTTTTTTTTGCTTACCGTATTTACCTGTGTATTAGTCGATCCCGTGTATAAGTCGACCCCCAATTTTTGAGGCCAAAAACTAGATTTTCTTAATTTCCAGGTAAGAATTTCTTGGAAAACTTAT